GGCCGCTGGGAATCAGGATTTAAGGAGCAAAGATGAGGGGTCAGAAGGTCAGGTCTCCTGAGATGGAAGTGGGGCAGGTAGGGTTGGGTCAGGGATGGAGGCGGGGAGGGGGGAGAGGAGGGGGATGGATGTCTGGGTTTGGAAGGGATGCGGTCCAGGGCTCTCTCTCTCATGGCTTCTCTCCAGGCCCCAATCCCAAAACACTGAAATGTGCTGGTGCTGGGGGAAGGAGAAGAGAATCCTACAAATAAAATCAGGTCTGGGCCTCTGGCAGGGTCCCTCAGGCCCCCCTCCCTCTGGAGGGGCCTAGAGGATCCCAATGGATCTGGGCAGATTCTGAAGGATCCTGGGAGATCTAGCGAGGAGGGGCAGGGCTGGGCAGGCCTCCCCCTTCGGAAGGGAGGGGGTAGTCTCCGGTCAGATTCCACCTTTCTCCCTTGGAGTCGGTGTCCATGTGTCCAGCTCCCAGCCCCAGGCTCAGCCCTAGGTCTGCTCACCGGCAGGGGAGGAAATGACTGATTCCTTCCCCCACGGAAAGCCCCTGGGACCCAGGCCCACGGGGCTCCCCCCCTCCGCTCCCCTCCCAAGGGCTTAAGGTAGGAGCTGTCCCCGAGACACACGGACATCCACGGAGACACATGGACAGACTCGGAGACACCGGGGAGACATATGGGCCCATGGGCGGACACACACGGACACACACGCAGACACACAGCAACACACACAAATGCAGACAAACACACACGGACACAGCCACAAACAGACACATCAAGGCGCACAGATCCACAGATCCACAGGAGCCCGCACGGTCACACGAGCACACCGCGGCACGGGCACGCCTGCACCCGGGCACGCCGGGGCACCCGACCCAGCCGCGGACCCCACCGACCCCCGGCACCCCCGGCCACACGCGCGCACACAGACACACCCGGACACCCAGACCCGGGCGCCGCAGCGGCGCGGACACACGCGCGCACACACACAGTCCACATCGCACACAGCCCACATCCACATCGCCCATCACCCATCACACACGCTCCCGTCCTCCGCTCTCCCCACCCCGGACCCCGAGCTCACCTCCGGGGGGGCCCGGCCCCGGCCCCGGCCCGGTCCCGGGCTCTGGCTCTGGCTCTGGCCGCCGCCGCCTCGGTCCGCGCCATGGCGGGGGGAGGGGAGGGGAGGGGAGGGGACGGAGAGGGAAGGGGGATGGGGACGGAGGAGGGAGGGAGGGAGGGAGGGAAGGAGGGAGGGGGGCCGGGGCCGGGAGGGCTGGGGGGAGGGGGCGGGGGGGGCGCGGTACAGCCGAAGCTCGGCGCGCGGCTCCTCCCTCCGCACAGCGCGGGGCGCGGGCGCCCGATCTGCAAAGGGGGGGAGGGGAGCGGAAGGGAGGGGCGAGGGGGCGGGGAGGCTGGCGCGCCTGGGTCCCTCCCCTGCTCCCGGGTCCGGGAGCGAGAGCACCGCGGACCCCTCCCCACCGCGGCCCCCAGCCTAGACGCAGCGCCCCCAACCATGGCGGTCGGGCTTTGGCCCCCGCTTCTCCCCGCCTCCCTCCCCCACGCCCCCGGCCGCAGAGGGAGGGGCCGTGCCAGGTCTGGGACCCTCGGATGCCAAGGTCCCCAGGTCCCCCGCCTAAGGGGCCTAGATGGACTCATGTGGGGGCGAGATTATGCTGCAGGAGGAGGAGAAGGGTCCCCGTGAAACTGGAAGAGGGGGAAGAGTGAAAAGTAAGAGATTATGATAGAAATGGAGAGCAAAGGCCCGAGGAAGAGCCAGGGAGGCTTGTAGACAGAGACGGGGTCAGGGAGACACGAGGGGACCCAGACAGGAGCTGAAAGGCAGACAGAGACAGAGAACATCTGGGCAGACACTCAGGACCCGAGAGACAGCCATGGCTACTAGCCCTCGAACACAGTAGGTGCTCAATAATTACGTCCTTAGCCGTGGCAGATGAAGACAGACATAGGATCCGGGGATAGGACACCTCCTTGCTGGGGGAGGCTAGTTTCTATCTTTGGTGGAAGAGGGCCTTCTCTGCCCCCGTTTCCATCCTTGTGGTCTGCCTCCCCCATCCACCTGGCCTAGCCCCAGCCCTACACTCCTCCTTTTTTCCATACCCCAACCTTTTCTCTGTCTACCAATCAGGCCTTCTGATTGGTCTATTTATGATTTTATGATTCAGTTCTCTCTTGAACGCCCCCAAGAAGACCCCCACCGGGGCTGAGTCTAAAAAGGATGGGATAGCTGGGGATAAGCAAAACCTGGAAAGCCGGGACTAGGAGTTTGGTTAGGCAGAGGGGTGAGGTATACTTAGAACAGACTTCAGCCCACTCATCCTCTCCAAGGCCTTTCCACAATCCTTCAGACCCAGCCTGCTTCTCAGCATCCCTGATCACCCAAAAGCCTTTCACAACATCCTCTCCACCTCCCATTTCATCTGGTTCCTCCACAAGTCCATTGGTCCTTGATGTGATAGAATCACAGGATTTGAAGCTGGAAGGGACATTAGTAATATAGGAATATACCTTTAAGCCAAAAGGGAGCTAGGTCACCTAGGTCAACCCATCCATTTAACTGAGGTGGGAGCTAAGAGGCAAAGAGGGAAAGTGATTCCACCAAACCCTCCCAGTGGCCTTGTCTGATCCATCAGTCTATACATCTTCCAGTTTTGCCCTATACTGGACAATCCTGGTTGAACAGAAGCATTCTCAATGCCTCCTCCAACTGGTCCTTCTGGCGTTCTTCAAACCGAATCCCACTCTACTCAACCTAGATTGGACAAAAGCCTCTGAAATTTCCACTCTGATTGGTTATTCTACAATCCAGATGGCCCTGTCCAGTTCAGGTCCCCTTCCTTACACCCATCTCTAATTGAAACTTTTGCATTGAAGGGGACAAGTTGCTCTGCCAAGGTCTCTTGGGGGCAAAGAAATCAAACCACAATGCTTGTTCCTTCTCTCCTTCATATCTACGCTTTGAGCAGGGCAGGGGCTTTATAATTCCTATGTAGTATTTATTACTAATTAACGCATGGACACCTCCTGTCTCTGGAAGCCCTGACCCCTTCCATCTCTGGCGATTGGAGTCTCTCACTCCCCCATCCCCCACCACAACAAAGCGGAGAGAGGGAATGTAGGGGATCACGGAATGTTCACACTGGGAACTTGAGATGCCTTATTTCCAGCAGCCCATTTTGGGGTCCAGGAAGCTGAGACCCAGTGAATGAAGAGTTAGTGAGTCTTGAAGAGTCCATCCAGTGGTCAGGAAAGGTTTCAGCTGAATTGGAGGGGAGGATGACTGAGTCTTTCTCTGTGCTACCCAGACCACCAGACTTCCACACTATGGAGAAAGTCCTAGCACTAACATCTCCATTCTAATCTCTCTCACTCTTTGCTGTAGGCTGTGGGGATGAAATGGGAGAGGAAGGGAAAAGGGTTCAGGGAAGTCGTCCCAAAGGGGGAAAGGGAAGGACCAGCCTGGAAACTTCTGCTCCACTGTGGAGCCTCAGAATCAATGGTGGATGGGGTGGCTGGGGCCCAAGGTCACTATGTCATTGTTACCATGGCAACGGCCGCCACTTCCCTTCAAGTAACCTGGGAATGAAGGAGGAAGAGGAGGAGGGGCTTTCCTGGCCCTAGAGACCAGGACTCAGAGAAGGGAAACACAGGGATCCTTTTGCTCTCTCTTCCCCAACTGTGGCTTTCCAGGCCCCTTTCTCATGGGGTCCACTTGGACCCCAAATCCTCCTTTCAGATAGGGTTGGTGGGTAATCTTGGAAGATCAGTCCCTCCCCCTCCCTCTTATTCCCCACTCCCTGAAGCAATTACATTAAATTGTTTGGTGACTTTACTGCTTTAATCTCCTCCTGCCACCACCTCCTCTTTTGCATGCTAATTCCCAGATTGACAAGCCCCGCTGTCTGGTGGGCGGGTGCTTCCTCTCTGCCTGCCCCCCACCCCCAAGTCTGAGGAATAATAGAGGTCATAAGAACCCTCTATACCAAGAGAGGAAGGAAGGAGCCCCAGGTGTGTGAGGTAGGGATGGGGGACACCTTTGGAGGGGAATGGGGAGAGCTCTGCTTGACCCCAGTGATCAAGAATTGGGGGCTCTGCTTCCGGTGATTGGGGACAGGCAGGTTTATAGGGGACCCCCACAACCCTAACAGAAACAGAGAAAATTAATTGGGGAGCTCCTTTCTTGCCCCCTGAGCCCTGGGGTGGAGTCCCCTCATCTGGAGGTTGGAGACACAGTTCTCTGGCCTGGAGACCTGGGGATGGTAACTGGTTGCCATGGAAACATGGCCTCAGCCTGAGCAGAAGAAACATCTGCTCTGGACCAGGGCACACCTTGCTCTCTGAGGGGGGTGAGGCACAGGCCTGGCTGGTGCTCTCTTGTATCCAGGTTCTTCTTGTCTCCCTTCTTGAGGCCCCCCCAGCCCACAATATAGTGGAGCCATGAAAGGAGGGAATAGAACTGACCCCAACACCAAGGAGAGTGGTTAGAACCCAGGAAGCACTTCCATGTGGCTATCCTCCCTTTCTCAAACAGCCAATTTTGAGTCTTGTTAAATATCTCCCCAAGATCTTTCTCTAAGCATTGGTTCCCATACTGACCCCTTCCCTGGAGGAAAAGGAAAGGTTTAAAATGACTGGCAGGCTCTTTCAAGAATATAGGGACTGCCTGTGCCCCTCTCTCGCCAGGATGGGTGTCTCGTTCCTACAACCTCCTTCTCTGTGGAACCCAGGCGTTCTGCCTCTTAGTTCTCCCTACCAGGAGAGACCTTTCCTGTACCCCTGACCCCCGCCCTTTTAGGGACTCAGGCGTCCCATCATTCAGCCCTCTACCCTTTCAGGGAACCTGGTATCCTTTCCCTATGCCTCTCCAGAGTGGGACCCGGATGGCCTGCATTCAGCCTCCCACTTCTGTGATGGCTGACTGCCCTCTGCTGACCACATGGAGCCCTGCAGAGGCTGCATGGGTGGAGTCATAACCACTAAGGTCAGTCCAGGTTTCACTAGTTTATTTTGTCAGAGGGTATGTAATTTCCCAGCACCCAGGTGTCCTGCCTCCGGATCCTTGGACATCTCCAGATGCCCCCATCTAACGGAAGAAGGACAATTTCTCCTGAAGCCAAGCCTCTGTCAGGTCATCTGTGGTACGGATCTCAAACACCTAATGAGAGACAAAGAGAATGGATTGGAGATTGGGAAATATGTCAGGGACCCAGGCAACCAGAGAAAAGACAGAGGAGCAAGCTATCTGTCTTCAAGTATCTCAAGTGCCCTCAGGTAGAAGAGGAGTTACCCTTGTTCTCCAGCCCCAGAAAGTAGATCCCAGAGCACGAAGAGGTCAAAAGGAAACCTTCTGAACCCTCTAAACTGCCTCAAAGAGTAGTAGTGAGTTGCCTGCTTTGGGCCTTCAAGCTAAGCTGGATGACCATTTGGCTAGACTAGTGAGGTCTCTGAGAGTCTGAGATTCCAGGGTTCCCAAAGGCCCTCCAAACCCTGGCCTTCTCAGGACCCAGGTGGCCAAACCCTGTGGACACCTCCCCCTCCCCAGCCCCTTCAGGAACCCAAGCCTCCTGACCTTGGTGAGCTCAGCAGTTTGTACCAGTCGGTTTTTGCTTCCTGCATACATCATCTGCTGTTCCGGTTTACAGCCTGGTAAGGGTGGAAACCGTGGGGTTAGTGGGAAGAAGGGACATGGCTGGGTAAGAAGAAGGTATTACTAGGGAGAAGACCCCCGGGGCAGGATTATAAGGATCAGGACCCACGTTGGCCATGGATTAGGGGGAGGGATGGGTGGATTGGTAGGTTCAGTGTTGGGGTCCTGCATGCTCCCCAAGACTGGGTATGGGGATCAGGAGAGGAGGTCTTACCTACAGGACTGGAGAAGATGAGGCAGAGTGGAAAAGAGACCCGTCCATCCTCATGGAGCCATTTGTAACTGTAGACTATAAACCTGAGGGTAGGGAAAATCCTGAGACAGAGCTCTGAAGGTGAAGCCTGAGCCCCTCGGCACCTCAATCTTCTTGTTCCTCCCCATGCCTGATCCACCCCTCAAGACTGGTTTCTTCCAAGGTAGTGGGGGGGGGGTAACGGTGGCTAGCTCCTGTGGATACCTGGGCTGTCTCTCAGGCAGCTCATTCCTCAGCTCCTCAGGTGAAATATTCTATGGATAGCAAGGAAGATGGGAGTGAATTGGTGGAGGAGTGGGGCTCCCTCCATGGCCCCAGCCCCAGGCCTTCCCCCATCACACCCTCCACCTGTCACCTGAAATTCTTCCTCCATCACGACTAGTTGCCGGTCTTTGTCCACTTTCACTGGGGGAATACCAGGGGAGGGACAGAAAAACAATTAGACTCCCCACCTCCCCAGGACCCCCAAGCCCTCTACAGGTTCCTGCCGCCAATTTTGTGGAGGGCAGGCTACCCCTGGATTCCTCCTTTCTTCCATAGGGAGGCTGGGAGGCATGACATCAAAATCCCCCAGGGTAGGGGGACCACTCACTGATGATGGCCGCGTTGCTTGTGTCTTTCCGGAAGCGGAACTTTCGGAGTTTCTCTTTCAGCTCTGGGTCCACCTCACAGACCACCAAAGAGTCTGCCTGCATTCAGAATGAACAACAGTGAAGGGAGCTGGGGCGCCAGGTGGGAGGGAGGCAGCTGGTGACCAAGGTGACCTGCTATCCCAGGGCCGAGAGGGTACCCTGTGGACTTTTACCAGGGGGTTACTTTCTCCTTCTACTCATTGAGGACGAGGTGGCAACCCTGGAGAGGAACCAGGAATTGAACCCTCTAAGGTCTCCAGGGTCCCAAATGGAATTCAGAAATCCAGAGAAAGAAAAGAGAGAGGGAAGAGGCTGGACCCAAACCTTCAGGAGTCCTTCTTGTAGCCTATGGGTCTCAGGGGTGGGAAGAAGGCAAGTGCAGGGCTCATGGCTTGATGTCTATCTCCCTCGGCCGCCTCACCCCTCATCCCATACTTTTATTGCCCCCAGTCTCCCCATAATGTCCCAGATTAGCTCCTGGTTTTCTGTAATCTAAGAAGTCCTTCCTTTCTCTAGCCTTCCTGTCTGTCTCCCTTCGTAGCCCGCCCCTCCCACTCCATCCCCTTCCTTCTCCTCATCTGCCTCTCCAATCCCTCAGCCCTGTCCAGAGTGCTCTCTCCCTCTCTCTCTCTCCCTCCTCTCTCTCTCTCCTTCCTTGCCTACTCTATCTTCTTTTGCCTTTTGTATTTCTCCTCAACCCCTGTCCCCATCCTGGTCTCCCTGGCTCCCCATTCCTTTCCTTCTCATCTCTGTCTCCCCTTTCTGTTTCTCCAGTCCCTCGGCCCTGTCCAGAGTTCTAGAGCTCTCTCCTGCTTCCCCTCCACCAACCCTGTCTCCCTCTGTCTTCCTTGCCTGTCCCCTTCATTATCTTTGGCCTCTTCTGTTTTTCTCCAGCCCCATAGCTCTGTCCCAATTTCTGTCTCCTTAGTCCCCTAGTCCTGTCTTTCCCTCACCCCTGTCCCCAGGCCTTCTCAGACCTTCCCCTCCCCATCTTGTTCCCCCTACCCCCAAATACTCTGACCATAGCTCCCAAGGATGTCTCCCTTGGGTTGATTCCTGTCTTCTGGGTAGGGGGGAAGGTCTGCTCTGATACCACATCCTGTTTATATCAGTCCTGGGGTAACTGTTGCCTGAGCCCCTCCTCTTCCCTTAAGCCCTGTCATACTTCCTCTTCCCCTACTTTCTCCCCACCCCCAAACTTCTACACTCATCTTCAGGCCCCTAATGCCTGATCTGTTCTGACCTCCTCCAGGAAGGCCTCCCAGATCCATCGACTCTTCCAGCCTCAAAATCAAAGGGTTCTTAACTTGGGGTAATGGACAGGGAGTCTGGGAACTTGGGTGGAAAAAAATTACACTTTTATTTCAATATAATTGCTTTTTTTAAAATCCTATTTCATGTTATAATTTAAAAACATGATTCTGAGCAGTGGTCTAGGACACACACACAAAATGTGAAGAAGCCTTGTGACAGATGCTTTCTGGAACACAATTCTAGAGTTAAGAAGGGACCGTGGACTTCAACTTTCTCAGTCTACATAAACGGAAACTAAAGGCCTGAGAAATTTAGGCCAGGTCCTAGAGTAAGTCACAGGCAGAGTTGTCACTAGAACTCGGCCAATTCCTCTGTACAAGTACATTAGGAACGCTTGCTGTCCACCCCCTCCCCACTTCCTTCACCTTGTCTCCTATTTCTTGAAACACACACTTGAATTCTGCTTCCTTTCCTCCAATATCCCTGCATCTTAAAAAGGATGTTTAAATTAAGAGGTGCTTCTAAGTTAGGTAGGGAGAGAAGGCTGGGGAAAGAGGCAGCTCTATAGAGAGCTGATGAAAGGAGGCATGGATACAGGACAAGGCATTGGGAGGGCTGCAAAGGGTTTTATGGGTATGGGAGGGAGAAGGGGTCTGGGGAAAAAGGATCCGGATTGCAGGTGTCATGTGGATAAGAACTAGTTTAAGGGGAAGATGGAAAGATGGACAATGAGGCAGAGGTTTTGAGGAAGGAGTATTTAAAAGAAGATTTGGAGATTGGGTAGTGTGGAGATGATATGGGAGGAGAAGAAAATGTATGAGATGATGGTTGGGGATTTGGGACGGACAAGAATTCAACGGGATTCTCAGGAGAAGATTTGAGGCCCAGACTTACAGACAGAAACTTGGGCAGAGGTATAGGGAGAAGGGACTGAGAATTCTGGAAGTGGAGATATGAAGGAGAAGAGTTTTGGAAGGAGGGAGAATTGGGGAGAGGTTTGAGGGAGAGACTCTGGAGAGGAGATTTGAAGATGGAGTTTGGAGGAGATGAAGGAGGAAAGAATTTCTGGGAGCTGGATGTAGGGAATGAGGATTTGGAAGGAAGGTACTTGAGGAGAGGAGGGCTTGGAGAGATTTTTGAGGGGAGGTTTAGAGGGAGAGAATTGTAGGCTGGAGTCTGGAAGGGAGGGGATTTATGGAAAAGGAGTTTGGAGAAGGGAGGTATGGAAGAAGGGAGGTTGGAAAGGGAAGGGGGAACAGATGAGGGGCAAGGATTTTAGAAGAGAGGGATGTAGGGGAGATTCGGGGGATTTAGGAGATGAGGAGGGAGGATAGATGAGTGTGATGAGGCTGAAGGGATTTAGGGGAGGAGATAAGAGGGGGAGATATATGGGAGCATTTGGGAAGAGAAGGAATGAAAAGACAGAGAGACAGCGATGTGGGGAAGGGTATGAGACCGAGGACTAGGAGGGGTGTAGATGGATTTGGGAAAAGGGGTTGAGGGCTTAAGGAAGGGATTATAAAATCATAGATTTGTTCCTAGAAGTGACCTCAGAAGTTCAAAGGTTTCATTTTACTGATGAGGAAACGGGGACCCAGAGTAGGGAAGTGATTTCGTTACAGCGTGAGAGTGACAGAACTGGGAAGAGATGTGGAGGGCGAGGGGGCCCCAGCTGAAGAGGGAGGGTCTGGGGAGGAGGGAGCCGGCTGAAGGGGGAGGGTCTGTAAGGGAAGGGGGCCGGCTGAAGGGGCAGGGTCTGTGCGGAGGAGGGAGACCTGCTGAAAGAGGAGAAAACATGAGGGGAGAGGGACCTAATAAAGGGGAAGGGAATATTGGAGAGAGGAGAGTCCAGAAGATGGAATGTGGGGTGCAGAGCCGACCGGGGAAGCGTCGATCTGAAGGGACCTCCTGCAGGGCGGAGGCCAGAAACCCAGGACAGCCCGGCCCGTTGGCATGGCAACGCTCCAGACAGCGCGGTCCTGACTCCCTCTCTCTTCTTCCCCCAATCCTCCTCCTCTCCTGGTCTCGGTCTGCCAATCATGCGACGTCCAGCCAATCCTAGTCCGGATCTGGGGGCGGGCCCTTCCCAGCCGGCGCTTCAGCTAACCCGGTGGCGTTCCTCTCCTCACCCTCTCTCGGCTTCCGACCTCTGCAGCACCCATTGGCTAACGGGCTGTCCGTCCGCGGAGGGCTGTCCAATGAACTGGTGCGCCAGGCCGAAGGCGGTGGTGAGGGCGGAGCGACGGCGCGAGCAGGGCGGAGAGGGAGGAGGGGTGACGCAGCGGCGCGGTGACGCAGCGTGGCGGCGGCGACGACGGCGGCAGCGGCGGCGACGGCGTCGGTCGGTGTGAGGAGCGAGGGAGGGAAGGCGGAGAGAGCAAGGCGAGTGAGGGCGGCGGTGGCGCGAGCCGGAGGCGGTAAGTGCCGGGTGACCTGAAGAGGCCTCTCCACTTCGGGGGACGGGCGGGAGGAAGGGAGGGACAGACGGGCAGCTATCCACCCTCCCCTCACCGCGGCGCAGCTCCGGAGAGGAGGGAGGGAGAGGCGCGAGGCCGCCCGGCCCCGCCCCCCCGCGCGCGTGCGCGGCGCTAGCTCGACCCCCCCCCTCCCAGCCGCGCGGCCCCGCCCCTCGGGGACCCCGGCCATCGGGCCGCGGGGCCAGACCCCGCCCCCCAGAAGGACCCCTCGGCCCTCCCCCGAGAGGCCCCCACCTCCCTAGAAGTCCTTTCAGCCTGTCCCCATTCCCCCTTCAGAGGATCCCAAAGGGCCCCCCACTCCCCTCAGTGATCCCCCTCAGCTAGTCTCTGGTCCCCCTTCAGAACGTCCTACAGGCCTCCTTTCAGTAATGCTCTTCAGCCTGTCCTTATTTCCCTTTTAGAAGTTCCTACAGGCCCCCAACTCCTTTTAGTAATGCCCCTTAGCTTGTCCTTATTTCCCTTTTAGAGGTTCCTACAGGCCCCCCACTCCTTTTAGTAATGCCCCTCAGCCTGTCCTTACTTCCCTTTTAGAGGTTCCTACAGGCCCCCCATTCCTTTTAGTAATAACCCTCAGCCTATACTTATTCCTCCTTCAGAGGTTCCTTACAAGCCCTCCTCTCCCCTCAGTGATCTCCTCAGCTTGTCCTCACACTCACCTTAGTAATGTCCCTCAGGTTGTCTCTGTTCCTCCTTCAGAGGGTCCTGCAGAACCCCCATTCTCTTAGAGATATCCTTCAGCCTGCCCCCATTTCACCTCTGGAGGGTCTACCAGGTCCTTTATCTTTCTTCAGGTTCTTCCTCTTCAAAGTGCATCTTCTGTTCCCTTCCTCCATCAGGGGAACCCTAAAATTCTTTCCTCAGAGGGATGCCCTAACCACTATCATTTCCCTTCCTCTAGTCACCTTCCTTGCTCAGAGAATATCCTCTGGTCCATGGAACTTTCAGAGCTCCTCAAGAGTCCCTTTTACCAGACTCCGCCTTCAGAGAGCTCCCCAAAGCCCTCGTTTGGTGTCAGTGTGCTTGTTCCTTTGCCTCCTTGCCCCCACCAGTGCAGATACCTGCTTCCCATTCTTCTTATAAGGACCCTTCCCAACTCAGAGACATCCTTCCTCCATCGTCAGTCCCCCACTCTCCCTCCCTGACAAACTCATTCCATACTGAGCATCCTTCACCCCAGAAGCCTTACAAAGACACTGCCACCCCCAGACTACTCTTTCCTAAGAGACTCAAGAGATTGTGTCTTTACTTAGCTCCCTTCAACCCAGGACAGCCCATTAGTGTCCATCTCTCCCTCCCAAGCCCTTTAACCTCTTCTCTGCTTCAGAACCTTTTGGCCTCCTTTCCTTGTGCTCCTGTCTGTCTCCCCCTCAAGGTCAGGATTCCACCTCTGGTCTTGCCTCTCACTCCTCCTCCCTTGAATTCAGCAAACATTTATTAGGCACTGATGATGGGCAAAGCACTTGGAGAGACCCTGGAGAAAGAGAGGAGAGATAGCTTTTAGCCTCAAGGAGCTTTCATTCTAATGGAGTGATACCCATTGTGGACAGGTACCCACATTGGCATGGTCCAAGGAGGGAGGAATACATGCTTACAAGGAGGTGAAATCAAGGAAGGCTTCCTAGAAGAGAGCAGCTGAGGCTAAATGGAAGACAAAGCTGCAGACATGGGTATGAGGAAGGATGGCATTCTAGGCATGAGGAATAGCTGATGCAGGTACTGAGTTTGGGGAATGGCTCATAGTCCAGTTTGGCTGGAGGATAGATTGAGTGAATTGGAGTATTAGGAAATAATGTTGGAAAGGTAGATGGGAGCCAGATTATGAGATATTTCAGTACCAACCTAAAGAGTCTGTAATTTATCCTGGGGATGTGGGACCCCAGGAAGGGTTTTTGGTCAGAGAGGTGGTCAGAACTAGGCTTTAAGATTGTTTTGGCAACAGTGTGAAGATAGCTTGGAGGAAGAAGAGACTGGAAACTGGGAGTTTAATGAAGACTCAGTAGTCTGGGCAGGAATTTTTGAAGGCCTAACTTAGGGGGACAGAGAGGGAGGGAATGGAGGGATGTGGGAAGGTGAAGTTTTTACCTCTATTTCTTTATCACTTCCCATCAGATACCACTAGCCGTCTCTTCTTCCCATCTCTTCTGCCCCTATTGGGTCTCCTAGAGAGGCCTCCCTTCAGACCAGGGATTCTTAAAGTGATGTTCATGAACTTCCCTTCACGCCCCCCCCCAATATTTGGTAACTATATTTCAACATAATTGGTTTGCTTTGAATCCTGTGTATTTTATCCATTTGATACCATCCTGAAGGAGTCCACAGACTTTACCAGACATGACACAAAAAAAGATTTATGAACATTCTAGGCTGTTCCAACTCTCAGGTCTCCATCAGGTCTTCTTTCCTCACCCCACCCCTTCCCTTGACTGTTTCCCAGAACTAATCTTCTCTTCATTCTTTACTCTTCCCTTAAAATTATTCACCACTTCCATACCTTTGCCTTCCCTCATCACCTTGATTTCTTAACCCATTGAATTCTGTTCTACGCTTCACCCCTTTGGACTCCCACAGCTTTTTCTAAAGGCCCTTCCCTGGCGTGGGTGCAGCCCTGTTCCCCTTTCTGTATATATCCTCTCCCTCCTTAAAGTCTTTTTTCTCAGATTTCTCCTTCCTTCCAACAGCCCCTCTCCAACACTTTAACAGGTCTTATTCTCTTCTGTGTTCTTACCTCCTAGAACCATTAACTCTCTTTTTTCTCTGCCACACTGTTCTGCCCATGGAAGCCAGGTGCTCCCTGCCTTTGGACAGAGGCCTATCCTCTCTGCTTCCTTGGCCCCCTCTTCTTTTTATCATTCCTGTTCAACTATCTGCAATCTAGTAGGATGTCGTCCTCCTCTCCTGCTTGGTAGTTAGGCCAGTGTAGGCCAAGTCAGGCAGACCCCTGGGCCTCCACATTGGAAAGGGATTTGAGAGATCACCTAGTCCAGTGTAAGGATTGCCTCTACCTGTTGTCTGACATGGACCACCCAGCCCCTGCTTGAACATAGCACAGAATGAGGAGCTCCTGGCCTGATGAGACTTCTGATGGTTGCTTTGCTTGAGCAGAAGCCTGCTTCCTTTTGGTCTCCAGTCACTGGGCTCATATCTGCCCTGAGGAAGCAAGAGAATCAGTTGGCTTCCATTTCTGTGTGATAGGTTTTTGGGTATTTAAAGACATCAATAAGGATATCGCCTAAATCTTCTCTCCGTGGGTCTAAATACCTCGCGTTTTTTTCAGTCATTCCTCCTCTGAGATGATTTCAAGACTCTGGATCTATCCTATTTTACCTTGCTACTTCTCCAGTGTGATAGTATCCTTGCCAAAATGTGCTATCCAGAAATGAACCCCAAAGTCTCTATGCACTCTAACCTGGGCAGGTACTTTTCCTTGACATCCGTTATTGTATCCTAAACTTCCTACCCTGCCAACTTTTCTCCAGAATTAGAATCATTCTCATCCTAGTGGGATAGAGTACTACTGGGAAGGAAGAAAGAGGGTCTTTTTCATCCCTTCCCCTGTCCTTTCGCCTCCTCACTGCCCAGCGTCTGGAGCCTTTCTTCCTCATCCTGTCAGTTGTCTTTTTAAGCACTAGAGTCATTAGTTGATTTCTCATTCCACAGGCATTGGACTGGATGACCTTCCAACCAGTGATTCTTAATCAGGAATCACAATAGGCGGGGTACCTAATTTCTTTAGGTTCTTTGTATGCCCTGGCTTCCCTTCCTTCCCCTTTCTGTGCCTGATTTTCTTTCCCTCCCTCTGAAAGAATCCCTTCTGAACGTTCCTGTTGAATAGGGAGGCATGTACAATGCTTAGAGCTCCCTAGTCAGTTGATAAGAAGTATGTCCATGGGTCTTTTACAGCCTATGCAAATTGTTACTTTAAATAAGAAAAGTAGATGTCTTTTACCTTCCGAAGGGGAATGAATAGGAGAAAGGCTGTCCTTAGTAGTGATTGTACTATTTAGTTTGGCTGAAGACCCTGTCTTGCCAAGACCTCCATCAATGTCCATTAGTCTCAACCTATTGGTTGAACTGAGTAGAGCTGGAAATCTGGAGCTGATCAGTACATGGTTATTATTCGTTTGTCTTTCTGAACTATAGGAATAGATCATAACTCTTTCCTTTCCAACCACCCTGCAGTGTCAGTGAGCAAAAGGGCTTCCTAGGATATTCCCAGTTGAAAATCAGGACAACCTCTGAGTGATTGGTTGGAAGGAGGAGGTTGTGCTTCAAATCATGGGAGCATAGAAGTAAGACCAGAAGGATCTTCAGGGGACTTCTAGTCCAGCTGCCTCATTTTACAGATGGGGAGAGCCAGTAAGTTAAATGACTCAACTGGAATCTGAACCCAGGTCTTTGGACTAAATCCAGCCCTCTTTTCACTATACCATGCTGCCTTCCAACTTAACCTTTTTGACCCTGATACCTTTCCTCTTAAATTGGGGAAATAATATCTGTAGGACCCACAGCCACAAGGCTGCTGTGAGATCAGACGGAATGATGAAAATTGTTAACTGTATGTTGACTAACTTGATTGATT